GATGCAGAGGTACGCGGTCATTTGAAGTGCAGACAAGAATCTACACTAATTTCTTCGCCGATCGGACGTGCCAACTACCCGTCCGTGGTGACTCTGTGTGAATCGCAACGGTCACTATGTCGAGAAATAAAGTAAGCAACGTGCAGCTGAGGTTCGCTACATTCTTCTAGTGTGTATTTTAATCTGTATTGTTGAAAATAAGAGACATATATGGCTAAATGGGCATCACTTTTCAGTCCACCATCGTAATTTGATTATTTTTTCTCGGTCTATGTTCATGCCCCTTGTTCTGAAACTCACGCACAGAGCTTGTCAATCTAGATGCTTCTTTTAGAATTCAAACATGCTCATGATCTTGATACAAAGTAAAAAAATAAAAATAAAAATCACCCTTTCGCATAATTTGGCTCTGTTGGAATCTAGAGAAATATATTATATCATTTTGTATAGTATGTATAAACCTAAGAAGCCATTGCTAGATTACGAGTTTGTTCCATGAACTCGTGTTCTTTAGAGCAACGAATTATCCGCTTAATTACTAAAACGAAAATCCCACAGAATTTGAGGTTCATTACAACATCAATTGTAACTGAATAGACGTTCCTACTGGTGACTGTTGTGCAATGGTTTGGCTCTATATTTTATACACACAAACGATCAAACTGAATCCCATTTGGGGAAGATTATTAACTTACCTTTTCACTAGGATGCTGTGTCCACCGCAGTCAAGGTGGGCCCTGATATATGCAGTGTGGAAGAGTTCGCCTTCTAAATTGTATCGACGACGAATTTATTATTTCTTTACATATTATATTATACATTTTACTTATAGAAAATCGTCTAAACAAAACATAAATTCACTTGGACTTCTTCTTTTTTGCCTGCTTAAATGGCAAGTTAGTTCCTAGTTCTGAATTTGTATTTTTTTTAAAGTACACTAAATTTCAACCCTGAAAAATCTAAGCAACCTTTTCAAAGCTGGTAACAGTGTAAACCGGTTCAGAACCTGGTTAAATGCACATTATAATAAAAGATGCACAGTGAGAGGTGTGATGTCGTGGCAATTATAGTTTATTTTAAAAGTTTATTTTCTAAAGAGAACGTTGCCATCCACTAGATATAATTAAGGCCGACGCCTCATCAGCTTCATGTGGCAATATCTCCTCTTTGAACTCGGCACAAAGCCGTTAAGTCGGGAACTACACTTTGATCTTAGCCAAAAGCCCGAAAAGCGATGGTGGCGATACAATCAAATTTGATGATAAGGCAAGAGTGTTGATGTACGCTTCATTCAGGTATCGAAAATCAAGTCTTTGAATTAACCCTCTTGTACCCAAGCATAGATGAATAGAAGGCATCAGGTGACATTTTATTTTTGAAGGCACAGTGGCTAGGTGTAGATCTTTCCTTCCATAAGATCAGGGCGTGTGTAGCTGAAAGACAACAGTTAGAAGGAACCAAGGAGTAGCAGTAGAAAGGCTGCAAACAGAGTCAGGATCCCAGAGGAAGGGGCAAAGGAGGTGAGGGTGGGTGCAGAAAGTAGAGACGAAAGCAGACGACAGAACATTGTCATAGAGTAGGAAAGGATGTGAAAGGAGAAAATTGCAGTGAAGAATATTTTCCGTCGCTATCCAGATTCGAACACGGTACTCATTGAATGGGAGGCGAACGTCTTAACCACAAGGCCACGAGAGCCCCCCCCCCCTCCCGTAAGAGAATGGCTAACCAGGGTGTTAGGGGAGGGGAGGGTGGATTTGTTGTGGGTAGGGGTAGAGTTGGAATTGTAGAATCTTTGACACCCCCTGTTGTTTACCCCAAGTGGGCGGACAAATTCTCTCTCATCGAAGGATGAGGAAAGGGAGATCTTAGTTATTTAATCATTGAAAAGACAAGTTTAAACGACATGACACTTCAATGATGAAATCAAGCTCTGAAGTCATGTTTTGGAAGAATAAGAAAAAGAATAAGAATCCAGAACCATTTGTTGGACTTGCTGACAACTGACAACAGTTCAGCGTATTAATTTGTAGTGATAAGCAGCCTACTATTTAAAAAGAGCTTGTCAACCTACTCACAGCAGGAGCTCACTTTTTACTCCCCAAAGAGTCTTTTTCCTACAGCCAATCAAAATGTATTCCAAGCGGGGCATTAAGTAAAATTTGTCACTTTCTTGGTGATCCAAATCACCCACTAGTAGGCGAAATCGCCCCGGTTGGCAAGTTTTAATCTAATAGACATCTATTACTGCCAGTCCTGATACTCTCTCTTGTTTTTCGCTCGCAGGGAGTGTGAGCTCATTGTCTCTTTCCAAACAGAAGGTATAATAAGCTTCACAGCATGATTGTGAGTAGTGGAATCAAGAAAATCACTGCATTTACAGGTTGTTGGTTTTTTAAACTTCGTCTAATAAACAAGATATTTTTTTTTCTTTTTT